GTCCATAGTTTTGTTTTTGTGACTAATGGCACTCAGCACTATCGTCAAACACCATATGATCCCACAGGTTGGTCTTACAGTTTTAAGGGTACAGTGGCTGAGGTCAGTGTCCGTAATTGTCCACAATATTCATTTACGCCACCATTCCGTACAAAAACAGTTCTAGAGGTAGTTTCCATGAACAAAGCGGTTTTTTTTCATTGGCCACCCTTGTAGTTTCAGAAACCTCGGGAACAGGGCACATCACCTTGTTAGTCTCTCCAACTCCTCCTACTCGACGGCGGAATTTTGGGAACTTTTTGTAGGTGAGGAAGTAAGTAGTGAAGCGGTCAAAGTGAGGGGGCGGCGTATTGACGGCATTCCATACAAGCGGTGATGTGCCCTACTTATGAGAAATCAGGCATAATAAAGATCATGAGAGTAAAAAATCATATTATTCGTCGACCAATCAAGACGATTACCCTATAGAGAATGCGAACAAAGAACAGGATTTAGATTACCAGCAACGGTTTTGTTAGCCACTGCTAATGAAAATGTTGAACCGTGGCAGGAAGTACCATCACTGGCGGGCACTTCCCTCGTCCATTCTCCTGCCCAGGCAAAAGTCTGCTGTTAGCTGCTGCGACAACAAACCCACGGCTTGATCCCATTAGTCATTGTTCAACCTAAGTACACAACAGTGTTTTCTCAATACTGCACAAGTCAAATTTCTTGGAGGGACCGATGAGCCTGCCTTTTCTGTATCTACTGATGCTGATGAAAATGATCACAAGTATATTTAGAACCTTCTGGTAGGCTTCTCTTCCCAAATTTTATACATAGCTCCAGTGACCGTTGTTTTTATGTGACAATACTTTAAATTTGAGAGCTTTTCTGGATCACTTAAGAGCAGGTGAGTCATTATGAGGAAAGCATTCCCTCGTTCCGGGTACAGGATATGCCCCGACTTTGAAGCTTGCTCTATGTTCTTCGAGCTCAATCGGCATTATTGAGCGAAATTATTAGTTCCTCCACAAGCCCCGAAAAAGAAAAAAAATTCAACACCGGACTTTTTCTTTTTTAGCACCATTTTATGTTGCATTTTCCTATGCCCGGCTTGATGTACCACATATATGTTGGTTCTCTTGGAACACTTTCTACTATGAATCATATTTCTTGGCTGACCGATTTTGATCGCGAATTTCAGTAAAACCTAGAGGCATTTAGTCGGGTAGTCTCACTTGTTTCAACTGCTGCAGGTCATAAATTGCTTCGATTCCTACAGGCTCTGAAGAAGGCGATACCGCCGAAACGTAAGCAAGAGTGGTGATTTAATAACCTCGTAAAGAGTTGAAACGACGGTCACATTAGAATCGGTGCTATGCACAAAATCGCTCTCGACAATGCAATGCAGCACGTGAATCTCAATAGGTGCCCGAAGATTACCTTTAAGCTGACTGGTCGCGTTCTACAAGGACAACGATGATCCGAACAACTGGCTAATACCCTGCCGCGATGGTAACCTATCTTGAGCTCGCTCTCAAAGAGATCGAGAGTGAGGATCGGCTTTCAATTATGGAGACCGATGAATGTCATAGCTATGAAGCAACTGAGCTCAGAACGCCTTCTGACTCGTCATAGCTATGAAGCAACTGAGCTCAGAACGCCTTCTGACTCTGACTCGGACCCCGCCAAGCAATTAAAGAAACTTCACTACTGAGCATTGGCGATCTCGCCTTTGGACTAGTGGCGGAAAGGGTTGGTACCTAGGCTGTTGCTGCGCGCATCATCCATGAGCTGCAGAGTCACACATCGAAAGTGAGAAGTGCTGGAGAGAAATGGTTATCTGCCACCTGAGAGATGGAGCCGCCTTACTACCATCGCAGAAGTCAGTAAAAAGGAACAATCTCGAGTTTAAGAGTCCTAAACGAACAACCCATGGAACTTTTTCTTGAAGGCAGAGTGTTCGCTCGCTTCTTGGATCCTGGTCCTTGCCGTGCGTGTGGAGAGTGACTCAGCTGCAGTGGCGTACTACTTTTTCAGCTTGAAACGGCAGGCGAACGGCACTGTAGGGTACTATATCTGGGTGCCATCTCAGTTCTCAGCCCACGGCGGCGCAGCTAGAGCCTGAACAAAGCCAAACACGCTACTTCCTTTCGCTTCTCCACTTATGGTTGCGCTCTGTGACAGCGTGTTCGGCATCAGTGCATCAGTGGGACCACGGCATCAGTGCAAGTGCTGCACCTTAAGGACAGCGCAGGCGGAGTATAGAGAGGGCACCCTGTGTCACCCCCCTCCCCGCCCAGTTCCCGTGCTCATTTGATCGGAAAGTGGCACGCTATTGCAGCTAAAGTTCCTTTGGCTCGTAAATGGCAAAGACCGTGCTCGGGGGTAAGTGCACAGTTTGTCCCTAACATATTTCCTCATAGTGAATAAAAGAGAATAACACACCAGACTGATCGCAGATAACCCCTTACAAGACACCTTCTGGAATGTCGTTGCCAATTCTCAGGGTAAAATGAAAGAGAACTGTTCAGAGAAAAAAATTAGCTCCTCCGCAATTGTGTCTACATCCGAAATCCCCGAGCTGTGGTAGATACGACTGCGTGCTCCAACTCAACGTGCCGGTGACTGTACTTTTGATGAGATTTTTTTCTTTTGACACAATTACGGTTATGTATCAGTCCAACACCGGAAAAACTGGCACTTGTCTCAAACCGAAAGGTGACAGTTCTACGTCATGTTCGAATGCCACGCTTACTCCGTCTTAAGAATACGGAGTGTACGTCGTTTGCTAAGGGATAGCCATGTTCATTTGTATGCCCTATGAAGGGTGATGAAAAAACTGCTCCTAATTGTTGATTGCTACCCTTTCATGCGCCGCTATAGGCATCTTTCCTTCCCCTGCCTTTGACGGTAAAATTTTGAAAATTGGACGAGATGGCGAGGATGGGGAAAAGTGGTCGGGGTCGTACTAAACGAGGAAAGTCAAAGGAAGGGTCACGAATTGCAAAATCTAAACAGTATGAAAGAGTGCAGCGGGAGGAAGGCACTGAGGCCCTAATCTAGGCATACTGAGCGTTCTACTGGTTATTCCAAATTGTGCTCTCAAGTAATATTTTTCAGTGTGGCAAATTCTTGCCTCACTACCTCCTTTAATATCACATGTCTTCTGAACTGCATTGCATATCTTGTTCTCCTTTTAAAAAGCGGCTATTCTCCTAAAGGCACTCAAAATCGGCAAAGACTTCCCAGACAACCCAATAAGTCCCGGGCAAAAACCCATATTAGAGCCTAATGGCAGCCACGTGGGGAAATCCGGCTCTAAGAAGTCCATCAGATAAGATACAACGCGAAGCGCAACTGAAAATAGTTTTCGATTTGTAAGCTACCATTTCCCTTCAAAAAGTCTTCCTGAACTTCAAAGAATGAATTGGAAGAACGAACTTTCAAGAACGACCATGTCCATAGAGCCTGTTTGAGTACGGTCCCATTATGATGACAACTTTCTACGCCTTCTTATTATTCTACCTTATGTATACGCCTTCGATGACTGCCGTGTCTATGAACTCGTCTATGATGACATAATGGCAGCGCTACCTCTACAGACGGGGGTCAAAAAGCCATTCCGAGGCACATATCAGTAAAGAGTACTGAGCCCATAGAGAAGACGTAGATACGAGTACCAGGACGGTATATACCCAAGATGTTCCTCGATAAGTGGGAGCAGGCTCTCGTCCATCACCTTCATGTACACCAAAATATGAAGTCATCTCCAGTCGCAGCCTGACTGGAGAAGACCTTTGGAATTCACGTCACCTCCAAACAGCTGCAAAATTTCGTTTATCGAGTTACTCTTCACCTGTGGCACTCTTCATCTGGAATATCTCCAACATCGAGCGACTCCGACAACGTCGCCGTGGTCCAAGATATAATTTTCTCTGCAGTCGCAAGATGATGGTATGGACCGGGAGGGCGCTGTTTGGCGACGGGAGGTGGGGGGACTTTTTTATCATCACAAATCTCACTCTGGTAAAACTTGCGAACTCTTGTGAATCTGAAGTAAGATCGTCTAGCCACTATCTTAAAACGTGTCAACTCGAGAAACGGCTGCCTAGATGGGTCGACACATCTATGAAAAGCATAATGCCCCCGCCGTCGACAAACTGTGCCGACCGGGAGTTTCAGGAATGGTAAGGCTGATATTGCATTCGTAGACCCCGGACTGGAAGTGAACGCTGAGTGTTACATCGAACAGCTCAGCAGAATATTCTGTTATGAAGTTGGCGCCTGTACCGTCTTGGAAACTTCGCACTACTATAGGATTGGATGCCAGCATATGGAATAAAAAAAAAGAGAAGAAAAAGAGAAAAAAAGAATCGAAAGGCGTTGAGAAGCTGGAGAGGACGGAATATCCAAGTGCGTCACATGTCCTAAACCTCCTCGATTACCGGGTTCGGGAGGAGCCCAACATGGTGGTCTAGTGGCGGAGAAATCAATGACCACGCTGAACTCAGACACCGAATCACGGTCGCGTGGCAGAATCTCTCGATGGCGTTCCCCGATAGGCTTTAATGCAGTTCGCAATCGTGAACAATGTGTTATAGAATTTGACGGTGAGAATGTCCAGTCAGAAGTTAACAATAACCATACTCCGCCTTGGAAGCCGAGAAAAAAAGTGTCTTTTTTGGGCCCCCACCCTGTATAGGTGTCTGAAAATTGACCTCTTAACGCCCCGGAAACCCATACTTTCCAGTTAAGGCTGGGTAACAACTGCGTATAGGCGCACACTCTCAGGTAGCGATCTAGTGAGACGCGTGGCTCTCGCCCAACGACAAAAATAAGCGAAACGCGGGATCGGAGTGAATGAGATCCAGCCCCGTGACGGCTATAAAAGGGATAATCAGAAGCGCTGAGGCTACACTTCCACAGCTGTCGTGACTTAGCACTCGAAGCAACGTCGCTAAATCTTTCTTGGTCTACTCCTTCCTCCAGTCACCGCCTAAGGAGAACAAGTTAATATGGTGATTACTCAGGTATTTCAGTTATGCATAGAAATACAAGTTTGATGTACTGGCGATCGCCCTTCTGTTTTACGAGTATTCTAATGCTCAAATCGACCAAATAGTAACCTTATCAACTACATGGTCAGAGGAAGCAGAGCCGTATCAAACTCCCGAGCTCTTTCTCGTTTTCATTACTAGCAGCTCCTCACTTAACTCCTTTCACCCTTTTAAAGAATCTTTCAGTTGCGCGCGCTGGTTTTCTTGTGCCTCTCCGCTGTCCCTGTAGAGGCGTGTTTCGGTTGGTTCAACAACTATTGTTGCTTTGCTGGTGCACCCTGTGTTTCTCGCTGTGTGTGAGTTTTTCAGGTAATTCGCAATTGTGTTCTTTGATCGACGCAATCTTATTTCAGGGCAGCTGCACCTGTTGTCTACGCCGCTGCAGCGCCAGTACTACCTCCACCACCTCCACCACCACCGCCGCCACCACCACCACCTCCTCCTCCTGCTCCGCTTCGGGTTCCCACCTATGTTGCCCCGCCTGGTCCCAGTTACCTACCACCTTCCCCTCTAGTTTCACCGTCTCTTTCCAATCCAGCACCACCGACCGGTACCGGTGGAGCCCCTTACAGAGGACCATCCATCAGTGTGCCCGCAGCCGCTCTAACCGCATATGATGCTGCAAGTGTGAGTGATGCCCTCGGACAGGTCCTGAACCAAGACCAGGCACTTACCGGCAGTGTTAGCAACGTGCAACTCAGAGACCCTCGACCTGTTCCTGATATTACAAAAGCCGGCTCAACTTACGGCTCGTCTTCATCTTTAGGAGGAACATTAGGAAAGTCTGTATCTACAACTGTAAGTGCTTGACTGCTGTTTAGTGTCATTTTAAACAGTTAAAACGAGGTACTTACTACAGGCTGTGGACGAAATGGGTCGCACAATCATCAAGACGGCGAACTTACTACAAGAGGTTGCTTATTTTGTCTTTTGTGATCAGGGCACATCCTACACTGGGAATCTCAAGAGTGGGGGACCTATTTGTTCGCTGGAGGAGGGAGGGGGTCATATTTGCTCGTCGTTGGGAGAGGGAGGTCGTATCAGCCTTTAAAAGAGATTGCCTGCGTTCTCCGGTTGTGGACTTTCCGTGGTTCTTCCCGTTTCTCTGGTGGTGTATACGCCTTCTCTCCCCCCACCCCTCCGCTCCGCTCGACGGCAAAATTTTTGGGAAAAACTGGAAAATGTTGGAGAAATTTCAGTAAAAGTGAGAAATTAGGTAAGAAGCCTGAAGGCTGGCAAGAGAGGCAAGACAGAACATACGTAGGATGGATAGGATGGGGGGGGAGGGAAGGGGAGGTTGTAGGAGAGGACGAGTTTGAGGTGTGGGTCGTATTTATTTGATTATTTCATTATTTTAATTATTTTGTTTACATCGTAAATTTTCCTCAGCGGAAGGACATGCCCTCTTTGTGATGCCGTATGTCCTCCGCAATGATTGATAAGGGATAGCACCTCTGAATAGATATCTTTTGTAGCTGTGGTATGCACAAGGTTCAGGGACAACCTATCCCTAACTATCTCCGTTCCAAGAACAGGGCAGATAATGGTTGCGGGCAGGGTAAGCATCGTTATGTGAAACACTGTCGCTCAGTCAGTGTCAGCTCAGTCAGTCGCTGGAAGAGGGAGAAGTCGCATTTACCTTTGAGAGAGATTCGTCGTGTTGGCAAAAACTTCTCCCCGGTTGTTGACTTTTCGCGTGATTTTCCTGTTTCATGTGTACTATGTACCCTCCTCCGCCCCCGGGCGCACTGACACCATCATTTCACATCGCGATGCTGTACCCTGATTGGGAGTTCTCCAACGTAGAGCGTGGTGCTTGGTCGCTGAGGAAACAGACAGAGGACATATATCCATCTTCCAGGCTCGTCTACTAGACAGTGCGAATTTTACTACTTCTGATGGTTGACAGAGGTATCACTCCTGGCTTCCGGGTAATCGGGTGTCACTCCTATCTCCCGAGTAATCGAGGAAGTTTTTCCTAAGCACGGTCCCCTTTCCTTTATGTCTGGCATCTTCCACAAATATTGGGTGGAGGGGGGTTGTATTTCCGCGATCAAGAATCCTTTTTAAGGAAGACAAGTGGATTATGCCAGACCAGAAACACGTTTCATAGCGCTCTAAAAAATACTTTGTTTTCAGGATGCGGTATCAGAAGGAATGGGGAAAGGACTAGCTCGGTCCTAGCAAGTCTGTGAGTGCATTTGATGAGACCAGAAGTTTCTCTCGAAGTCTCTACCTGCTCAACTAGCTGATTTCACTTCAGCTTCTTGTACATATTGCGAAACTAAAGCCCTCCAATGACTATGACTTATCTCAGTTGTTCAGTTCAGCGTGTTTATGGCAGAGCCCACCCGGTACGGCTCTATAAATTGTTAATAAATATAAAAGATTGTGTACTATCTAACATACGGGCTTAGAAGCACCCACAGCAGGGAAAACGCGAAAAACTGATAGCGCTTCATGAAATCGATGTTCAAAGGGAAATGCACGTTCATCCTCTTATTTTTCTTGTTGGTAAGCGCGTTAATCAAGCAGCGAACATGAAACGGTTCCGATCTTCGCTTTGTAGGAGAGCGCGACCACCACTATTCTTTCAGTTCTTTTTTCACAATTTTAAAGCGCTTAGAAGAGAAAGGAAACAAGTCGCCCTTCCAGTTGAATCACGTCCGCTTGCAATGCGCTTGCTCTTGAATAAGGGCTACTCGGAGAGTGAGAAATGCTCGCAAACTTAGTGTGAACCCAGCGACAAAATTCACTCCTTTCTGATGACGTTCCAATAACAGTCGGGCTATCTGAATCTTTTTTTTTTGAGCCTTCAAAGCTGGAGTTGGAGAACTGCTGAACGCGGGGAGTGCAGTGCTCACAATCATTCTGAACATCAATCTACCTAACACCACACTGAATCCTGCAGCCGGTGCAACCAACGTGAGTCGTGTCACGAGCCAAATCAGTTGAAATGAGTTTTTCTCTCTGGTGGAGAGGAAGTCCTTCATTTCTTCATTGTATACCATCAAGAAAGAAGTCCTATTCAACTGCTAGTGATACTGGTGCTATCGTGACTTTCTGTAGGATCCACTTTGTGATGTCCCCGTCCAGCGTGATCGGAAAAACGCAGTCATTTTTTTCTGGTCTCCGATTGCCAAATGCAGCACCATCCCTGTTCTTTGGAAATTTGGACTCTTTCCTTTCTCTTTAATTCAATCAGAAACATAATCGAATTTCATACCGATGAATCTACAGGCGAAACTGCAACAGTCAAAGCTCTGTTCTGGCCTTTTCTCTCGGCTCAGAATGCTTCCTATTGTGAACAAAAGCCGGTCCTTGTTCGACATTTCGGACATTTCAGCGTAATCGCGAATTCACTCAGAGCGAAAATCTTTTCTGGAGGATGGGTAGCTTCCCCAGTTCAAGCTTAGCAGTCCGTCGCAGTCGCATATACAGATTCGGCAGTTCGGCTGGTTAAGCCTGTATGTGCGGATGGTTAAAGGCCAGTGCATAATAAATCCACAAGGAGTTTAGGATGAATACACTCAGTAGAGCAGAATTCGGCGCCTCTGAGCAGGCGCTGCCAGCGCTTTAAAAACAAAGGTACCAGTATAGCATCCTTACAATCAGGAACATACCAACCCGGACGCCCAGCGCACCTGCCCCTCCAAATGTCCCTAACCAATGTCCTACCAGTAACATCGACGTTGGTACACTTATCGCTTCATTTATGCAGTACAACTATATTAAGCTTCGGATATGATACCTGCAGCTGTCGCTATCAAGGCTTTGTTGGCACCATGCCAACGGGAAGCTCGTCCAGAAATGCTTGTCCAGCGCCGTGCAGACAAAAGCTTCTTGCAGCTTTTTTGGCCGTTTCACTTCGTTGACACTACAGAAGCTTCAAAAAAGCATTTGGCAATTCCTCTAAAGCAATACGCTTGCACATATATTTAGAATCGTCGTGGCTTCTGAGTGCGGTTTGGCTCATAGATGAATTGCCGGAGCCAGCAACCTGTGCTGTGTGTTTTGTACCCAGACAGTAGATTCACCGAACAAGAAAGTATTGAAGGACCTCGGTGCCCAGATTGATAGCCAGTACTAGCACAATGTCGAAAAACGAGAACTGTTTTGAAGTGAACAAGCTGCACGTGCCGGCCGCTGGAAACCCATAGAGGAAGTAGAAGATGAGTCTGACACATTCGGGGCGAGCTTGATGGATCATCATTTTTCTTAGATAGGATCTCATGTTGATGGATTAGATGAATCGTTTAGTGCAGCCATAGCGTCTTTGAACTTTTAAAGTCGTACACTTAAGCACCACTAGATTTTCTTCTTTTTGTGACTGTCGCTTGATTAGCTGGCATTCTCTACTCTCCACGGTGGTCTCAACAATGCATGCTCTGATCGCTTTCTCGCTCTCTTACCTGTATAACCCTAAAGACAGTTTTCGCGAGTAACAGGTAACAAATGCTCAGTCATGAACCAGTAGCCTATCAAGACTCATCAACAGAAAAAGAAGCGAAAATGGGAACACCCTGACCACGGCCCCTGAGGCCGGCGACTTGGTCGAGTTCATCATGAGGACATGCCCAAGTCTTCACTGCAGAAATGTTCATCTTTAGGAATGCTCATCAATTGATTGAGCTTGAGTAAACGTGACACCCCGACCTTTGAACATTTGTACCTAATAATGCCCATAAAATTATGAATAATAATAATAATAAATAATCATCAATGCAAACGAATAGATTGAGGAGAAGGGGTAGGGCGTGGAATGGAGTCCAGCCAGGTCGACTTCTCAACCAATGATGCCACCAAGAAGCCGGAGTAAGTGGTGGAAAAGACTGGCCCTATCTGCGCTCCAGGTCACGCCACCTCGCGCGCCTTTTCATTTGCAGAGACAATGACTGTACTTATGGTGCTATTGCCTCACCTGGTCATTGCCGACTGTGTCGAATATCAATTGCGAATCCGGATAGTGCCTTTCTACTTCCATTGATACGAAGTTTTCTGTCCATAATGAGTCCTGCAATGCTCCCACTTCATCGGCTAACTACCTCGCACTTCACGAAAGACGGTGCTACCTGTTGCATCGACCAAAAGCTGATTCCACGGCTGGATAACACTGCAGCAATATGAGCACGAAGCATTAGTATCAGCTGATAGACGACGTAACGTCGATTTTCCAGATCTCTCGGAACAGAGCTCTGAAATCTTCAGATGCCTAATTATGACAGAATACTAAAGAAGAAAACCTCAAGAAAATGAATGCAAAATATAGGTTAGAAGGAAGCCCTTGTCACTGTTGTGACTTTTTCTTCTTTTTTTACTTTCTAACTCAAACATGTTAACAATATAATCGTCATAGTTAGCCACTATGCTGCTTCACCTAATGGACAGGTAAGCATTTCCCCTCTCGCTAGAACTGAGGAGCTGGGAGTCAAGCAAGTCGGCGGCCTCTCGACTGATGTCATCAAAGTTGCTAAAAGTTTTTCTTAGCTATAAGAAAGCCTCAAGTGAGACGGAAAAGGTTACAATCGTAGAGGATGACCGGTCTGGTCTCCAGCTTGCTTCTCAATTATTATGGTAGGTCTCCATAGCAGTATGGGGTCTCGCGTACTACGAACGAGGTGCCCCAAGCTAGTCTCGGTCATTTTTTCGCCAACAATTTCACTCATTCCAGGAGCTGAAAGACACAAATGGTAGCGGTGACCGTCTGTTTTACAAGGGCTCGTTCTGCAGCATACCCTCGTGTCCAAGGAGTAGCCACAGGAGAACCTTCGTCGGAATGCATGTTCAGTTGGACTGCCAGATTGGATCTTTTCCTTGAGGGAGACACAAGTACTGTGTGGTTTGAGATTACAATGGAACCCACATCTCAACTCTACTAGGCAGCCTCCTAGAAACTCTTCTGAGAGAGAGGAGAAGGGGAGACCCGACAAGGGGTAGCTGGGGTGCGCAGCGTGCCATCGGTCAACGTATGCGTGATTCCATCGAACCAGTACTTTTGGTAGTCAGGGGCTTACAGGCGGTGGACGACTGCTAGTTAGGAGGCCAGTCTTGTCGCAAGATGTGCGGTGGTAGCCTCTGGATCCTCCTTGACTGCTTCCGAGAATGGTGGATTCTCGCACTATGTGGGACCAAGGTTTGTCTTCGAGGATCGTGTCTACTTTCGCGAAGCGAGCGAACCAGAGGTTATGGTCCGATTGGTAGCGGTGTGCATTTGACTGTTGATATTGCGCGACAGCTGCGTGGTCCCAGTGCTGCCGAGGCCACGATACATGATGATAAGAAGATGCTCCTGTGAAACTGACTTCGCCGATAAGACCCAGGAAAGAGCAGGTGCCTTCACTCACCTCTTGCAGGAAAGCTCTAGAATGTTCTACAAACATGGCATGTTACCACCTGTTCAAGCATCGAACATCAAAAACTGTAAGCTTTCAAAAAAACACTGAACGACTTTTCTTCCAGCCTAAATACTTTGGTGGCATCGTTAATGTAAAGTTAATGGCATTGTGAGAGACGGACTGGAAAGCAGTTCTCGAAGGTTTAATAATCGCAGGCATTTCCACCTCCTAGAAAGAAAAAGGAACTGCTAGGAAAACCAATCTGGTAAAGGAGAAATGAGTACGGAAGTTGTGTTCTGTGTGCCTTAAACTAAGATATCACTGCCAGCTCTAACTGATCGAAGAAGTCAGTCAGTCTTGTAAAAGAGTATTGACCACCTTGATGTATTAGGTCATCTATTCAAAAGTGTGCGACGTTTTTATTCGAATAAAACGAAGAGTATAAGTTAAGAGTTATGTTAAGTACGTTTCACTGTTGCCGAAGGCCCGCTCCCGGCGTCCAGGAAGCACTTGTACACCGAGCAGCTTTCCTTGTTCAACAAGAGCGGATAAAATGTTGTTGCTGTGCTGTCAGTTTCGGCGATCGACCAGTTGTCGTAGTGCTTGCCACTGATCCGCGTCTTCAGTTGACCAAAACAGTTGACGTCACACGGCTGCAGATCAGGAGAATTTGGGGATGCGGTTTGTCGAAGAGGGCGCATTCTGCTTTCCATAATGTGCCGACCCATCTAGGTAGCCTTTTCTCGAGTTTACACGTTTCAGGATGGTAACTAGACGATCTCGCTCCAGCTTCGCAGCGTTCACAAGTTTTACCAGGCTGACATTCGTAAACCGGAACCTGGGGAGCAATGGTAGTACAAGATGCCCTCCCATCGACAAACAGCGCCGAATATAGTTTCCGAATCTGGGTCTAAATATTTTTTCGTCCTAATACTGGCGATTTCTTTGAGCTACATGGGATCTAGCACTGTCATGGGCAATGATAGCCTTTCTGTAGTTGTGTGCTACCATGCAATTGTCGATGTGATCGTCGATGAACTGGTCATACACCTCAGCAGTGACGGACTTATTTTCCGGACAGAGCTTCCAAAGGCCCGCCCCAAAAATCCATTGCGATAATGCTCATCTGGACTCGTGTAACTCCTCACGACATTGTTCGGGTGGCTCCTCATCTGCATCCGTACAAAGGCGAAGCTTTTGGGCTCATTGTACAAACTCACCCATGTTTCATCTATGGCCAGCATCCGTTTCAACGCGGGTGACGTCGTAGACGGAGAAGATTGCTGCTGCAGGCATCGATTCGGTAATAGACTGTTCTTCTGTAAGAAAGTGAGGCACCCATCCGAAGAGTTGGGAATGGTCACATCTTCTTGACCATTCCCAACTCTTCGGATGTAATTCGGCCAACAGTTGTCGCAGGAATGTCGGTGCCGCGGGCGGGCTCAGTAATGGTCCATTATCTACGTTGCGACATTCAAAGCTTATTTCATCAACCTTTGTGTGCAGGGTAATCATTGCGGCCGCCTCCTCGATCATCAGTTGTATTCGTTCTCCTCTTGGAACTTCTGCACCCAACGTCTCAAGTTCCGCATAGAGAACGCCTTGCCGCCTGACTGCCGATCCAGTTCGCGATGAATTTGAGCTGCGGACTTTCGTTGTGTAACGCCCATTTGGTAATTCCGCGCTGATCTTGATCACTCAGGTTTCTTTCCAATTTCTCGATAGTTTCTTCTGCTGGCATGTCGACCATATTTGTCGGTAGCTAAGGGTACTAGCTTTCAATCAATACAGAGACTCTTGACCGCGGTCCCTCTGTTCCCGCCTATACTGATTTGTCCCGGCATTTTCAAACGGGATGACCTAATAGTTCCCATTACAGCATGCCGACCAGAAATGACGACTTCTGTCAACCTTTTAATTTGCCTCCGTAAGTCACGGTATGAGGTGAATGGAGATTCACGCGAATGGATGGATAGTATGTGTGTGGTGCAACTGATCAACACTATACGTTTCACAGCTTTTCCTAAGAAGGTATGAACACAGCTCAAGGCTTCTAACGCCATTCGAATTCGAATTCATTAAGTCGCAATGAAAGCGAAGTGCCGCAAAAAGAGTTAGTCGTCCTTGTCACTTTCCGAATTGATTACTGACAGAAAACAGACCATTTTGACAAACGTCCCTCCATGTTCTCGGCAGGTACCGAGATGAAAACTGACGACTTTGAAAAGAAGCAAATGAGACATGTTTCATCGCATCACGCTCGATGATTTCACACGGTCACTCCGGTGCGCTGGAATAAGCTGCAGTACCCTTGGGAGAACTGACCTACCCATACAACTTCTCGCGATGCAATTTTCTTCCTTTCACTGAGGATTCTCCTTTTTCACGTGAACTCCTTCATAGTACGTGGTACCATGGGATGATGCCCCACCCCGTGGGTTAGGTGACTACTCGAACTTTTTTGCACGATCCCGTCACAGCCATATTCGAACGCAGGACCGCTGCGAATGCCATGTCAAGCTATCCTTACCGCAGAGGATAAAATGTGAGCTCAGCAGGAAAAAGATAGCAAAAACAAAAAGTAAGAAAAGAGCTTTCAAAGAACAACTATAGGATCAGAAGATCATGCCCCCTCTGAAAGTTCTTTGAATGATGGAAAGATCATCAGCTGATAAGTGCAGTAGTTCAATCCGTTCCCAGCGAGCAAGCTAATTATTAGGTTGGCGGAAAAGGTCCGTCACACTCGAACTCAACATACTTGCCCATAACCTGAAGAGGAGTAATCGGTAATGTGGGCACAGGAGTGATCTTTCTATTAGTACCATCGCTTGATTCCTGCTTCTCCTTCTTCTTCTGCAATATGAAGAAGGATATTATCCGCTACCATCGGTACCGACCCCTCCAGACGCTTCCTCAAGCTCTTCCTTCCACCACCCTGACGCCAGCATGGTACCTGCAGATTCCAGAATTATGGAGCTGACTAAGGATGCCCTCAATTATTGGACAACCTTCCACGCGGATAACGCTTGAAAAGAGGAGCCTACAGTTTTGATGACGAAGTGAGGTATGGGTCACAAGTGAACTCAGATTGAAGGAGCTGTGGACCGTGAAAGTGGTGTATGAAGAAGCTGCTTCGTCGGTCAGCCTGATCTGCGTACGCAAAGCAGCTTCGAGATCTGAAGCGTACCGTCGATGAGAGGGAAAAATTTGTCCGCACAGCCCGCCCTCATCATGACAGTGCAGCGCACTCCGTCCGAAAAAGTTCGAGCCATACCTCATGCAATCTCCCCTTGCGCTCGTGTAGCACAGACACTGCTCCTTCTAACTGCTAGTTGCCTCCCGCACTCAATCGTTATGTGGACGAGAAAACCTCGATAACCTGAGTTCACGTCGAGAGATGATCTCCAACTTTGCTTCGCGCCTCCCTGCATTGTGAAGCGATGGCATCCATGAGGTGCCCAAAAACTGGCAAGAACCCCGCAGTAACATTGCTGTGCAATTTGGATCTTACACGCCTTTCTATAAAAAGAAAGCCTCATTTGAAAATGTGACAGAACTAGGGTTATCCTATTTAAAAGGAATTAATACCAACCCGAGGTGATAAATGGACCTCCTTGGGGGACTTTATAAAAGTTCCCTCTTTGGAGCTTTTGCGACGTTCTCTTTGAAGTTGAAATAATGTTTGAACGAAAGATTTTCTAAATGTCTTTCAATTTTCCAGGCTCTGAAGAAGAGTAAAAGCCGAAACGTCAGCTGAGCAAAAGGTCCTAACAATCTTGGTACGATGCTGAGCAAGCTCACAAACTTATATTACCTTGACTACGGAAAAATCCAAGGTAACGGATGGTATGTATGGATGGATCTTCTTAAACTGTTGTTCTACATCGCGATTGAATGAAACGATGGCCAGCCGCCTGTAAAAGAAAGATTTAGTGTAAGACTGCGTTTATACTTTGCGGCAGCGTAGCGTAGCGCTTCCACAGTACGCCAGCGGCAGTGTCGGGGGAAAGGAGAGATATCGATCTAGCGTTCCCAGCGTACCAGCGTACGCTAGCGTAACGCTAGCGCTACGCCAGCGTAGCCAAGCAGGGTACAGCATCGCTGTTTCAAACCCGGGGGGGGGGGGTCGTAATCTCAAGCTCACTCAGAGCCGAGCAATGTTCGACATTTCAGTTGATAGTGGGCGTGGAGCTACGGAAGTCAAGATGTTTAAAAAAAATGAATTTATTATGAGCGTATTCTTACAGCTTTAAATGCTACGTTTAAACAGTCCTCTTTTCAAGGGGAATCCCCGAGAAGGGTTCGTACTCGGCAGCGGGGAAGGTGCGGGACGTATACGCAAAAGTAGGCTCGCAGGCATCAAACAGTACAAAGAGTGTCGCAAGGCATCAAAACAGTACAAGGTGTCATTGCTAAGGGTATGGAACGGACGGAAAGCTTCAGAAGACCCGGATGTCAATAGAATACAAAATAATAAAAGATTTATTACAATAAGCACAGAATAAATAATAAATAAATAAGTTGTCAGTTTTATAGCATGAACTCGTAAGTACGTAGATGACTAAATAATACGTCTCAAACAGATTCGTGCGTGTTGTCCTTTACAAACCCAAACAAACATCTGCTTGCATGGATAAAAGCATCTGAAATCAGAATTTACACCTTTCCACCACCTTTGCGTAGGAGCCTAATGCACGGCGCCACGAACCAAATCGCATCAGAGATAGGCGAGCTTCTCTTTCACTCATTGAAGGGAAATATGTGTTTCGAAGGCACACTGAAGTTTCCCGAAAGTATCTCACAATGGCACATAAGGAGTTCAAATTACGGTTGCGTCAGAGGGTGGGCATCTGTGATCCATCTAAAATATCTCTGAACTAGTGGGTCTTCAGAGAAAACTGTAAAGCTTATTGGAAAGAGAAAAGATGGAGGGGTTTCAAGGACGATTTAAACGAACCAGTCCTTGTGTGAATCATGGAAACCACCTCGCGATTTACCTCCTGGCTGAACACGTTGACCATCCGAATATTCCACCAACGGGGATTTGTTGCAGTTTGCAGCTAGGCAGAAAAACACAAATAGTAGAAACTTTGCCGTTGCATGCCTGCTCACCATTCCTCAAAAGCTCCGCACCTAAAAAAAGATATAACCCCCCCGAACAGACCCAGGACGTGGCAAGTCCAACAACCGCGCTCCAATGAGGTTTTTTCCAAAAGAAAGCGGTCGCCAGCCTTGCGCCCTGCAGCCTGATCGATGATAGCCAAGTATGTGGAAACGATTTACTGCCGGCCTTGTTTATCCTTTTTCCACTTAGCTCTGCATTTTTGTATTTTCCATGTTTCGCTTTTGTTGTGTCGTGCCTGTTTTCCATTATTTCCCGTCACAATTTATTGAATGCACATCTGGGCCCTGACACGCTCACCTTAAGCTATATTCAGCCTATCAATGAGCACCATTAGCCGCTATTTCAATTGCTGTTTCTTTTACAAATTGCATGTCATACATAGTTATCGAACGAGGAGTTTATTTTGAATCCTAAGACAAAACTGTAGGTAATGCGAGGCTGTTGTTCAGCCCATATTGCATGAGGATTGATAAAAGCCTTATTGCCTGTATTTTAGAGCAGAGTGCGTCTTTCAAGAATCCAGATTCCTTTCAGGAAGCCATTTGTGTTGAACATGCATCTGGCTGTCAGTTAGAGAAGGAGGGGGGCTCGTATCTGGACCCTCTCGAGGGGGGGGGTCGTACGCCACACGGCCATTCTGACGACATCGCCGATGCTGTACCCTGTAGCCAAAGGCACGGATGTTATGGCCTATCGATCTAGGCGCTCCAACGTTTCACGAGCGTTTCACTAGCGTTTCGCTAGCGCTTGGCAGCGCACGGAAAAGAGACTATGATGGAGCAAGGATGAGTTTTTGGTACTCTCCTACTCTTCTATACTCTCTAGCGCCGCCGCTGGCAAAACGCTAGCGGGGCTAGATGGTATAGAAGAGAAGGAGAGTACAAAATGCTCTCCTACTCTTCCTATACTCTCTAGCCCCGCCGCTGGCAAACGCTAGCGAATCGCCTGTGAAACGCTGAAACGCTGGAAGCGCTACGCTGCCACAAAGTATAAAACGCAGCCTAATCTTTGTTCGGTGTGCCGGTGGTGGTGCCGCACAACAGCACAGTATGAGAGTTCCACGGTGCCGCACACGCATGCAACAAAATTGGTAGGAGTGATACTATGGAATAGCCTTCTCATTTGCCCGCTTCAACAACTGGTGGAGAGTGGGTTTGGCACCGCGCCAAACTCATTCCGCTTGACACACCCTTTCGTCCACAGCAAATTCGACTATAGCTAGTGAATGATAACAACATCAAAAAGGTAAGATTTAGTGCGTGAGCACGAAGTACTTTCAGAAAGCTTGGAAAAGTCATAAGTCATCAATCTGCGAATTATAAAGTGGTGGCATATCAATCGGTAGGGTTGTTCTCATCTGAATCCAAGATCCAGTGCCTACTTCACACTGCAAGTCGCACTTACTTATGGGCGAGCACTCCTTATCCTTAAGAAGGAGTAGGCGTGGCATTTCGGAATGGCATAGAATGTGTTAACGGTGGAATATTCAAACTGTTATCTTGTACTGAGTTGGACAAAGACATGCCCTTGAGTGTCTCAAAATAGAAATACCTGACCAAAAGCACAGTCACCGTCACACCAATTGAAGTACATCCGCCGCCGCATCTCAGGGACTCCGTGTGTACACTCTCAAGTATTTAAAGACTCACTAGTGAAGAAAAAAAGCAAAAAAATCAGTTCCCGAGACGATACAATACAAAAAACGCAGGCGGAAAGACACTAGACAGAGATTAGAAGCCGAAGGCGAATGATGAGAGAACAGAAAGAAATGCTATTCATGACACTCCTCAGTATTCGATATTCTCTCAAGATTTACAGAAATTTATGCTGGTAGAAAGATTTGGCAGGAGGTTTGTGCTCGACGGTAGTCTGAACAGAAACACTGCCTCATCTTGTCTTCAAACAACTGCCGCCCGCGCCATACGCACCGGTTCCAACATACCTCGAAACATCAGGCTCGTTGGAAGCGTTGTATTGAAAACCCCCTTTCCTCATTGCCCATTTTGTTCAAACTTATCCGGTTCCAGAGCAGGATGAAGCAACCCGACGCGGAAAATCGCCCCGCTGGTACGACTCGCTCCCAGGAAAAAAGTGTCCCCCCCATAAGTGGCCGTAGATGTATTTGCCCAGTATCTACAAGTGAGCCGCTATGAGAACAGGTCGTTGCATAATCCACTGCACTTCTACTCAGCTTCAGAACTCCTTGAACGGTTCATAACATCATTTGCAAACAATCTTTCGCCAAGCGCTAATCAAATACCGTTGGTTCTGAGAAGGATCTGTACAAAGTATGCTGTAGAGATCGCATAGCTTACACGGCGGCTTTACATCAGAAAAAAAAACGCGGAAAGTTTTCCTGAAGCGAGTTTTTCACCCTTCAGTGGACACATCTTAGGTCACACATAACCCAGTGGGAAAGTAAGCATGGTTCTAAAAACCCCAAGAGTTCCTCTTCCTGATATGCGCAACATTTTTACCTTAGCTCTAATATAGCGGAGATTCGCCCGTAGCGGATTTTTCTTCGAAAGATAGCTTCAGCTGCAGTAAGAGGCCCCCCAAACCATGGAGGCCCCTTTCCATACAGAAACTTCGGAAGACTCCTAATACACGTATTTCCGCTTAGGATAAGTAGGAATTGAAGCTCAAAGGGGGTGATAGACTTTTCCATGAAATGCGCCATCAACTCGTCCTCGATTCAGGACAACGGCAGTGACGCAGAAATATAAGAGAATCTATGAAATATGGACCTAATATGTTCCAAACAACCGTACGACTCAACTAATGGGTTCCTTGTCGTATTTAAAGGCAGCACTCGCGTTCATTTGATGTTCCTACGCCGTCCTTAGATATTGTAGCTCGAAAAGGGAGGAGGATGTACTAATTTCGCAGCTCAAACGACAGGATGGGGCCACTCGCTTGCGAAGGCGAGGCCGCCCCGTCCCCCTGGCCAGCATAGTGTTCTATTTTTTTTCTGCTTTTCCTTCACTACTGGAAGGAAACTTCACTACAGCCTTTGAAGGCTAAACCAAAGCAGGCATGGCTGCTATGCGGTCGTAGCGGTCCCCATTCACAAGCGGGTGGCCCCAACACTCTACTCTTGAGCTGCGAAATTAGTACATCCTCCACCCTTGTCGACAGAGCTGCGATATCTGAGGGCGGGGGGTGTAGGAACATCAAATGAATGCGGGCGCTGCCTTTAAAACAAACGCGACTTGTTGCTATGTTGTGGGTTCATTTACGAAGAATTAATTTGTAATAAATTTTCAACCAGGCAGAGATACCGCGCTCCACAGTGCGGCACAAAAGCAAAAGACTGCACATATATTCCCCTTACCGGCGGAGAGGGGGGGGCAGTCACGTCGCGGACTCCGCGAAGTACGCAATCCACACAAATTTTTGAATTCGGCTCTGCCCTCTCCGTATCTGCTTACCTCATCTCATTTCCCTACCCTTTGCTCTGTACAGTATGTATGTCCCACACTTTACCCATCCCAACCCTGAACCGACCACTTCATGTTGCTCATCAGGTAAAAGCGAATTTTCGAAGAGACAAGCAAACAAACGAACGAGGCAGCCATTCTTTGATCAGGTTCAATCCTTCCTATGGCTGGAATAGCTGCGTCAGTATGACCCGACTACCCTGGAGACAGGTCTTCGTACGACCGTACTCATAACCTAAGTACCATTGCCTAGAGCTTTCCACGACTTTGCCCAGTAGGGGCATACACCCTCAAGCAACTGTGAGGAACTAAAAGTTCTGCCCTGCCGGCAACTAGAGGGGGGTATACATAGCCTCCTAGTGGGCTTCGCACGAGGTTATTTCCTGTTTTGAGGCGACAGGCCCTATATTCTTATAGGAGTGCGTGCTAGTTAAAGAGCAGTGTTCTAGCGAAACATCACACATCTCTACAGCCAGCCTCCTAGGCTTTCACATGAAGAACCATCTAGTTCTGTATTCTGAATTGATGGCGAGTGATCAGGACAACTATCTATTTACACAGCGTACCATAGTGATAATTTCACCTGAGTTATACTTTAAATACGTGGTGCTCCGAAAACAATATTTAAAGAAAGAATGCGTTATTAAAATGCAAATATTAAAATGCAAATTCGAATCTCAAACAGCAACTATCATTATAAAACAACTTTAGGGCGATCGTTCCTCAGAAAAAAATCGGGAAGATATTCTCTGGTGGCGGAGATGGTGTGGTGACAAGTGGGGCGCTCACCATTCGCGCGGTCCCGGGTTGAATCCCGGGTCGACTCCCGCCCAGGCCAACCAAGCCTTCTACCCTCCGGGGACGGTGAGTTGGTACCAGATTCGTCTGGGAGGATAAAACACTGACTTGTACATCGGCTGGCCACCGCAAGTCATTGTATAGGCCACATCGCATTCAATAACCCACTACGATTCTGAATGGAAGTAGAATGCATGCCGCATCCCA